ACTGAGAACACTACCAGTCGTGGCATTTTCAACTGCGACAAGAAGAAAAAAATATGTTCTTCATAAGACCAATTAAAACAACTCAGATTTACTTGTATCTCTCATTTTAGTTCTTAAGATCTATTTAGATATTTAAAATGTAACACGAATTAGTGGTAACGAGTAGCTATAAAATTTTGGACAACACATTCCCTTGAAAATGCAAGCTCAATTGCGCTCAGCATAGGAAGCGCCATTTTGCGAGCCTAAATATGTAAAATTTACAGAAGAATTCAAATACAAAACCCTCACCTAAATTTCGCATTGTACAAGTAACTTTTTAGCTTATTAGTTACAAATATATAAAACGATGCAAGTTCCGTCGTACCATACAACCGTCTAAGACAAACTGACATGTTGAGAAGCGTAGCGATTCTGTTACAGTTTCCTTTGTGGGCTTCAATAGGAGTATGCTGGCATGTTTGAAAGCTAAATACGACGCGCTCTGAGTAAATGTAGCAACGAAATGGGTACGTCAGCACGTTTTTTTGTTAAAATCCTCTCTTTAAACAGTGCATAAAGGTCGCATAAAGGCAACTATAGGAGATATAAAGGTATTCCTTTATCTCTTTTTGTAACAGAGACCGTTTAGTTCGCCACATAGATATTTATCGAAATTCAAGATGAAGCTTGTTACAGATTTATTTGGTCATCGAAATAGCAGGAGGACTCTTCTGGCTAATGGATGTAAATAAAATCGTTTGGAGCTCATTGTAAAATAAACTAGCGAATGTACACATGAAAGATTTTGGTCTAAAGGAGTTTAACTCTATTTTGTGTCGACTTTGATTAACATGTATGTTCAGAATGCGCTTGATGATTCCGACAATTTGGCAAAATATTTCACCCAATATATAGCCATATAGCATAGGCACTCCAAAGGTTAGCTAAATTAAAACGAGCGTGGTCAACAAAAAAGTTTTTGGCGCGTTTTGAATGTTAGTCTTAAATATTGGAGGTGATTTCAAGATCATGTAGCGCTTAAATTAAACTTTGAAAACACAAGTACTCATATGGAGATTATCAATAGATTTGGCCGAAAACATTTTTAAAAATGCTTTAGCCGAGAAGCGAGAACATACAAACATGCACTGTCTTGTCAAAGTAAGCCGATCTATTCTTGCGACAACATGCACTTTCTCAAGTTAGATAAGCACACTTACATAGGCAGAATTACAGCGATTTCGCTCAGATATTTCTGTCTTTGTTAAACATTACTAATTGTGATTACTAATTATCTTATTAATTAATTCTAATTAATTATTTCTTATATAGTACGGCCTCACTTAGGATATAAAAAAATTATCCACTGCCAGATGGCTTAGCTGCCGCAATGCGTCAACCCTTAATAAAAAACGTTTATTAGACATGAATCTAATGAACAATACTAAGGCATAATAAGACAATTTACGGAACGACGGGATTTTATAGGTTATTTTCTTTGAAAACGTTGTTTCTTAAAACTTCTTAATATTGAGGTCTCAAGATTTTTCAAGCGCTTGTTGAACGATCAAAAAGCAAAATAATTAGCTCATTCTTTTTATCACAGGTTTGCTTGTGCTAAGGCTGAATTTTTGGAGGAGAACTGGACGTAACTTGTATTGGATAGAAGAGCTATAGTAAGTGTGATAAATAAAAGATATAATTAAGTAAGGTCATATCACATGACCATAGTAAAAAAGCAGGACTGCCATCTATCCGCGAAACTGGGAGCTCTACTGTAAGAAGTTCGTGGCCAATTGACATGCTATCACAAAGATCAATTGACAATAACTGTAAATAACCTGTTATTTTCAGAAAAATTTGGTAACTTGGCTTTTAATAACATAGGCTCGCTCATTAAAGCGCTCGATAGAATAAATTTAATTAATTGGTAATTTCCCAGTGCGTATCCCGTTCATTTCATCGCCAATAATTGTCCTTTTTGCGAAAACAAACAGATGCTTGAAAAATGTTCAGTTAAAATCTATAGTAACGATATGAATCTGAGCGTTGAAGTCACCCCAATTAGATTCTTCATGCGAAATCATCATGTGGGGCTGTATAGACGAACGACATATATATTGGTAATTTATTATTCCTCGAAAATAAGTGAATCGTGTAAACCTCTTTTAGGCCACGAACTAAAATAATTTTGAGCAAACATAATGGTAGAATTTTTTCGTGCGTTGTAACAACGGTTGCTCTCAATGCTCACGTAAAGTGTATCTTGGCAAATGTAACATTACCATTTTTCGCAAACGAAAAAATATTCTACTCACACATATAAAACATACAAGTAAATAAGTAAGAAAAAACTGTACCAATAAATATTTGTAATAAATAGGCGAATACGTAAAACTTTTGAAGGCATTATTAACATTGCACTCACAATAAATAAATCATGGAACTATTTGCTACCATTATTAAGTTTCGCTTCATCTTGTGTGATGCCTACACAGGAAAAATTAAAATTCGCTTAAATCGAAACTAGAAAAACTATTTTATCTGTTGTATGACTTATAAAAACAATTACAAACAAATAAGCGCATTCGCGCGAGTCACAGTTTCAATCTATCTGTAAAGCAATGTACTAATAATTAAGATGTGTTACTTCGATATAATCTCATTTCAAGCTCCATACAGTTATATATATATACCTAAGTTCACCTGTGGTCATATCGGCGGTGTCAGCACTACCAGCTTGTCCTATAAGAACATATCTTCGGAATCACCAATTTTTAGGCATAGCACCAAGGATTTGCCCCCATCAGAAGTCAAAGAAGGTCTTGGTGGACTTATGTGAGGCTTCTCCAATAAAGCGATGGAACGGCAACCATACAAGCCGCTACCAATCCCAAAAATAATAGTACCTTATGTTCTTTAATTTCATATTCTCATGGTTATTGCTGTCCTGGATTTATTTTTGCTAAGGCTGATTTGGAGTAACGTCGCACCATAGTTGATACTTATCATTATCATTGCAACGCGATCAAGGAGATACGTATTAACTACCTCTTCTAAGATCACATCAGCTAACGTTTTTGCATATCGGTTATTCAGCTAAATACTGCCTGCCACCTTTTCCGACATACCTTGTCTTGAATAATATTACACTTGTGTTCTCCGTCAACGTTTGTGCATATGAAGGCTTCCTCATCTGCTATTTATGTTTGACTATTACATATATTATATTCATATTATCATGCTTTTTGTGCAGTTTTTACAGCCGAGCTTAGGTATGTAGGTATTGCGGTGACATCGGAGCACACAAGTAAGAAAATTATTAAATGCTGAAAACGTACACGGAGACTATTCTGTTTACTGTGTATGGAACATGGAAATAGGTGAAATCGGTAGAAAAAATTATATATCAGCTCAGCTTTATTATCAAACCGGCGTAATAACAGAGATCACTTAATAGATCGTCTGCTGCCATCCGATGTGTCATTCATCATGCCGTATACGTTTGCGTTCTAACAAAGAAGAAGAGCAGTAGTTCTTCTGTCTTATGTTCTCTAGAACTTCCCACTTTTTTGGAACTCTGTTTCAATTCCCTATGTACTAGAAAAATGAGCAGCAATATTAATATATTTATAACATTAAACCTTTCTGGGGACTTGTTTCATATTTCGTAGACACAAACAGCTTTTTGGATCACAGGTAATCCAATTATAATGGACCTAAATATGAATCTTTACACGCGCGTTTAAAAAAATGACCGAACAGATATTGTATAGGCCGCATGTGAGTTTAGTCAGACTCTATTTTAACGGAACTAGTAAAAGCGGTCTTTGATGAAAAGCTATATTGTCTCTGTTTACTAACATTTTTCAGTATGAATCCCAAGACATCGTAAACAAAAGTGGTTCAATCAAACGAGATTAAGTGCGTGCACCCTTGCATTACATTGTCTATTGAATAAAGTAGCCCTGGAAGCCGGCAAAATATTGATTTTGAATGCGATAATACTAAGTCAAGCTGCTGTGGCTGGCAAGGGTAGGATTAAAACAGCTGCCCAGCCAACAGGAACCGTAATGGCAGCTCATAATTACAATGAACAGGCATCTTATTAAAAAGGGTAAGGCAAAGAGCACCGGCCCACCTTTCGATAAATAATAATGTGATAGAGCTAGTAAATGGAGACTGCTTTCTTATACCAGTATTATGACGCTGCTTTTTTTGCCTCATAAGGGCATGCAGAAAGGGAATGGCCTTCGTACTTTGAAGCCTGTTGGTACCTTGTAAAGTCCCTTCATTGCAATATACTTGTAAGTGCAATCAAGGGCTCAGAGATGCGACTGATGCAAATGTAATACAGATATTGCAATTTTTGGTGGGTTACGTATTTGTCTACTAATCTACTTTAGACCATAAAGTAGATTAGTAGACAAATACGTTACCCACCAAAACTCGAAAAATAAAAATAGAAAATAGGCTAGAATGCGGGCATAGGCACATCTTGTCTTGCGTGGGAACCAGTAATCTAATGGAACGCCTGACAGCAATACCTCGAATGTAAACCTCGTAATATAGAGATACTGCAATTTGATGACGCAGGCAGTCTATCTTGCAAAGCTACTATCGATGAAGTTACAATAACTGGCAGCAATCCACAAGAAAGCAAAAATGGATACGGTGCTATAGTAGAAGTACTTCCAGGAGTTAGGTGGATTGAGCTAAAGCAGCTGAAATTCTTATGGGTATCACTTCGAATGCTTACTAATCGTCACAAGGTATATGTTTGATCAGATCTCCACAGAAAACGTATTTTCTGGTAACAACAGTGTAATACAATACATACAGTAACGTTCGAACTAGTAAGATATCCTCAAGTCCCTATTGACTATCACCATATATAAACATTCATGCGAAGAGGTATTAGTTCTCTTTTTTGTAAAATTTTGTAAAATAAGCTTTCACCAAAATTCAAATTGCAGTGAAAACAAATATTTGATTATTATCGAATACAAAGGCGTTAACCGTGTGTTTTAGGGTTTTATTTTGGGAAATAAATAATAGTAATGACACTTTCCTTGCTTGCTATCAGACACTTTTTCTATTATTATTTTTCATTGTTTCTTTGTTTTTTTGAAAAATGCGAGTCAGTTTTAACAATCGCAATACGTTTACCTAGGTTTCTTACCCGTAGGCTACTTTACTAGGCATGCTTATTGGCTTTCCTCTTTACTACCGATCCGTTTTCCCGTAGATTCGGGTCACGCACGACTCACTCTAGAACTACATAGCAGCATCTTTATTTTCTCATCTCTATATATTTAGATATATATGCATACATATATATGTATTTATATTTACATTTTGTATTCACATTCCACCACAGATATTGGTTCCTGTACACATATAGAAAAAAGTACAAACAACAACGAGAATAGCCAAGGCTAACCTCAGTTCTGATACATCCCATTGTCTGCCCCCGAATCCGAGAATCGACCATAAAACTACAGAGTTCGGGCATCTGTCTTTGCAAAATACAACAGCCTCCTATACAGATAGTTAGGGAAATTAACTTGGACCTCATACTTTATAGAAGTGCACAAAAAGAAATGCAGCGTTTTAGCACAAAACTATTTAAATGCACTGCATGTATATTCGCGACTATTCGTACCAAGTCAAATAAACGCATATATTATTTATGGGTTTTATTGTTGGAATATTTTATCCAACACCAAATGTTCATATCACCCTATTTTGCTATTAAAGGAAGGGCAACCGCTGTTAATTTTTTTCTAAGCTATAACTTCATGTTTATTTGACGTGTTTTCCGCTGAAAGCTTGGAAACAGGCACAAAATTACCTTTTAAGCTTGTATGCACATAACACGTGAACGTCTGTTTTGGCCTTAGAACTATACGAAAAAAAAAGCCAAAAAATAGTAACGGTAAGGCCAGTCATCAAAGTAATTCAGTACCGGGAAATCGTCTGAAAGAACTCTCTAAACGATGCTTTCTCTGACTAAAATATATATCCATGTTCCTATGTTTATTTCTAAGGGTGGGTAACACAGACATGCTTTGGCTTCATTCCGTGTTATTATAATATAATTTTCATTAATGCTTGCGTATACATTATCTACTAAATCTAATTAACATCCATTGAGCTCTCCTCGGATTTGGAGTTCGTAGCTGCAGCTGGATTAGCCACCATCTGTACATTCTTCAGCGGACCCATCGAGTCTTCTGGGTTGCTGACGTTTGCAATCCCGGAACTCGATGCACCAACGGGTGGGACGTTCTCTTGATTAGTGGCCACGCCATGATCCTGCTTGCAGTACGAAAATAAAAAAAGAACAAGTCAGAATTTACTTAAGTAAATCACTATGAACGCTGCCATTTACTATAAATTCACTGCATATATTGTCTGCTCTTTAAAGGACTATTCTAAAGGCACTGAATCTGCTTAATTACACATAGTGTACCTCAAATTAAGCTATAGCGATCTTCACTATCTTTACTGAGCAATGTCCCTATCGGTGTTTCGCACTCATCCCACTAACAGAATAACGCGGGCAGTTTTGACCGTAAGTAGTATGTTCTCGCCCTACAGGCAGCTTCCGGCCTTACAGGTATCAGGTAAACTTATTGAATGCGTTGATTATATACGTCCTTAAAAAGCCACAGGCATTTAAGCCATCCCCCTCAAAAGCTAATCTCAACTGGATGGCTGAGATTTCATGGTTCGTCATAAGCGGTGCCTATCGGTGTTGCTCAGGGTAACCGATTTCAAATATATGAAATGCATATACTAAGCAAAACGTATTGCAAAAACTCATGTTTTTAATTTTTTAGATATTCAGATTCAAAGTCTTATGTGGAAAAAATCGTTTCTCTGGGAAGGTCAAAACTTTCTTCCTCAAGGTTTCGTTCCGCCTAATTATACGTACTCCATTATTGTGATTGTCATCCCAGTTTATTTTGAATCGCGTGATGCGAGGGTTTGTGGCAAGGATATTCCGTACAAGGTTCTCATATTGAGGTGTAGCTGGAGGATTCTCCTTAAGTTCATCGATGTAATCCACGTTGACATAGTAACTAGATAAATAAAGCAGTAGAGAATAGAAATCAGAATTTTAGTGTCGGTCAAGAGGAAGTCTGACATCAACAATTAGCGCCTTAATTAGGCCATAGCTTTAACAATAGTTTAAAAAACGCTGAAAAGCTAAAACCTGTGCCTAACTTCAGATACAATGACAAGCAATCGTATTTGGATCAACCTACCCGACTCGAATGAATTCCTTTTCTTTGTAAGAACACGTAAGCAGCACAACGGTGACACCCACGAGATCTTGAATTGGAATTTTTGATGGATTTGGGGGGTCTGCCGTAAAGACAAACATATGCCTGCCCTCAGGAACCGGACCGACGAGAATCGTGTCCAACACCTGCAATATACCAAAACGAAGACCGATAACAAATAATGAATGTAGACAGGAAGCTTCAATATTAAGTAAATTCTAATGATAAGCAAATGAATTTGATAAGCAAAAACGCATCGCATGATATTCTAGTATTATTAAAAAAGTATTACATTTAATGATAAGGCAACAATTTTTTATCACATAACTTATGATCAGGTATGGGGGGAGGGATCAGTACATAGAAAGTATCGATAAGTTTAGCTTTAAAATGTGAAGTTCGTACGACAGAACATTAGCCATTAACACAGTAGTTCCTTAGTTTTAATTAATCAGTGCTCTAATAAATGGGAAAGTCTTTTAGGATTATTAATACTTCGCTATTCCAGTTTGAGTGAGGCAGTAGACTAGAGTGAGACAAATTAGAGCGACGACGTTATTATAGTTATCCATCGCCAATTGCTACACGCTAAATCTTCTGCGACAATCATCGGCTAACCACCGTTTATATCCAAGTTCATATGAGTTAAATAAGTATTCACACAAGTTTTTCCAGTTATTTAAACTATTTCGATGTAAATTTTCAAAACATGTAGCAACTTAAACCGCAGATTTAATTGAAATGATAACCAAGCTTTTTGACACGATAAATGAATCAGTTTACATCCATGTGTGCACTATACGCCTGTTAATTAAAAAATAATACGATGCTTTGCATCAAGAAGTTGTATCAAAGATACGAATGTAAGCAAATGTTAAACACATTTACCTGATCATATTGTTCGCTTTCCGCACTGCCGACATAAATGATCTTCCACTCCAAATCTTCTTTGAGATCTTCGATGCATTCAAACGTGATCTCAAACTGAAACGGCTTCAGGAAGGCTGAAGGGTTTTCGTAGACAAGGACGTTGCACACGTGAACCTTGGCCATTCTGTGCCGCTGTGTTTCGATATGTGCGACAACAGTATAGATTTTAAATTTGTTCGTATATGAACGATTTGGACAAATACGTGTTATTCAAGTGATAACTTCAAGAAAAATAATCATGCGCCAACTTCCACACCTAACTTAATCAATTTTTCCGTGAGAGAATTCAAAAGAAACAGTAGGGTAACATATGCAGAATCATTTACACTTCTAACTGATAGGTTAGTGTTTCAGCACCCTATTAAGGTCGTATTATACAGAATACGTCTAATCAATTTGGCACTTTATTTATTGGATATTTAGACGCACAGATCTCCCGTCCGTACAGACACAGGCATACTCTCGTTTGTATTATGTTCAATAGACAATTTGCTCTTAAATAATGATGGCATTCAGCGGAATTCCTGTTGTGTAGCCACATCAGAGCGACAGATGACATAGTTGTGTTTTGAGTTAAGCGCTAAGATATCAAAGCCAACGAACATATCCATTATTTAAACATCAATGAAATATCGACGTACCAGCCACTTTACTTAAGCATTTAAGCCAAGTCATACATTACATAAGATCTTGCCATAGCAATGTCCCATTGTATTAAGGACTGAAAAGGCAATAGGGTAAGGAGATAGCTTAGCGAAGTTGCAAAGGGTCGCTTATAAAAAGGCGCCAACACAGAGAATCCCTAAGCAGAGCATAATGGTTTGAGCCTGTCAGAGTCGGTAAGCACACATGTATAACCGGTAGGTTTCAGCGCTTGAACCCACCTACCTTTAAGTAGGATGCGAAAGATTGCTGATTTCGAAAGTTACGAAACCAATCGAGTTTCTGTAACTCAACCGAATACACACACAAGCACATGAACAGGCAAGCCGGCGGGAAATATTAGCGTATCGTACGACCTTCTGCAATGGGTAAGCACCAACCCATCGAAATTTAAATGAGACGCCCGCCAAACGTTACAAGACGCTAGGTATTAAATGTGACCGTTAGCGTAAGCGCTTTATGCTCTATCCAGTATCTACATACACATGTAGCACACCATTGGGGTGTTACAGTTATGGTTTCAACGACTTTCTCAGCTTTGCAATGGATAACAGTAGCGCAAAAGGCGACCCATTTTGCGGACGACTAAGAAACAAGTAAGATTCTAAGCCTGATTCTTAGCACGGGCTTTTAACGTTTATCAGAAGCTGGTAGGACAGAGGCAAGCGTGTATGAAAGTGAAAGAGCTAGACTGAGGTAAAGGAATGTTTATTGGTTCGATATTAGTGACTAAACGTTTATGCTACGCGAGGCACGAAAGAAGCAATAATATATATATATTTTACCGTTATATCCTCCAAACAGATATTTGATACAAAAGGCATTTTTGGACGATCGAAGTCGCCGTAAGGCTGTGATTCAAATAAGGCAAAGCAATGCATAAGGATAAAATATTCTTTCAACTATGCTTCCTATTATAATTGTAACAACGAATTAATACAGTTACAGATGATATAGAATGCACTTAAGAATCAACACGTTTGAGTTCATTGAGAACAATTCAAAGTTTAACATTGAAACAATTCAGGAAAACTTAATAATGGGGAATATCTCTCATTCTGGACAGAATGTATCTATTTTTTTTTATAATAGTATACTATAAATTAATTTTATATAGGGAAAGGTATACATTCGAATTGAAAAAATACAATAGGCATTATAAAGTAAAAAAGACGATAACAGTGTTGAGTGATTCGTATGTAGCTTCACAAAAGATAGACTATCTGTACCAAGCTGTAGATTTTTAAATCGGTAAAAGCTGTTAAATAAACTTTAATTTTGCTAGCTACAGGTACATTGTAATAAATAATATTTATAAAATCCTGTCACGTTCGTTTTTTTCTTATATATGCGGTTATCTAGAAAAACATGAAAAGATGAGGAACCTTCTGGTCCGAATACCGGTTGACGCTATCGCAGAAAAGTTTATAGAAAGTGTCTAAAAGTCGTTTAAAATTTAAAAAAATGGAAAAAATGTTTAAAAAAAACGAGAAAAATGATGGTCCTGCAGATATCGAACATTTTTGCAAACAGGCCTTCGTGAGTTTTCATAAAAATAAGCCCCAATAATATAAATAATAAGGATACATAGAGGTCCACCCCCCACTAAGGGAACTTGGCGATTCGGTAGGTCAGGTTACCAAGCAAGAAGACACCTCCATCAGTCCAACGACTTTTTTAATAAATCTCGTACCCAAATAGGCTCGCACTGCCTGACGTTGATGCGAGCTAGGTCGGACGACTTTATTGACAAAAACTCATCTACAGTAGTAGAAACGCAATTTTTCGTCCTCCAACCTAATGTAGCTGGATAGTGATTTTCTTTTTAACCAATCACATGGCTGTGCAGGAGTGAAATGGCGTGACAGAGGTAAGATTGTACAGTTTATCAATTCAAGATTGAATAAATCATCAGCATTTTACTTCAAGTTTTACTACACTTATTAGTTTTGTATCTATACATATATACATGGCTCATTACCCACGCAACGATTAGGACCAATCTATAATCTATTAGGATATTTATTCGAACCGAACGTACCGATGCTTTTTGTGTACTTTTTATTTATACTGTCAACACTACCCATTCTTGAGAAGTTCCTATAACTAAACATAGATTTTAAACAATTTGCTGCAGAATGAATGAGGAGATAAACAACAAAAGGAACCTGTTTTTATATAACTTCAATTTCTAGATGAAAAGTCATGTGATTATCTTTGGAACGGTTAAATTGGCCATTAGTAGTAGATCTGGGTAGACAGAACATCATGAATAAGGTCTTTATGTTGCTAAAAAGAAACGCGCTGAATTTTATAACAGATTGAATATATGTGAAGGGCGTTATCTTCAGCATGGCTACAGCATAACCTCCACCCTCTCTCACGAGGTGACGTAAAGCAAAGTAGTGGACGAGCCATTGTTACCCCTATGCTGTCGCCACTGATGCCGAAAAAACTACGCATGCGCAGATGTAATTTGTAGCAACTCCATGCTGCCGCTACCGAATTCTTCAGCGCAAAAGGTGCGAATGACGCCACCAGATAGTTTTACCGTTGCCGGGTGGAGTCAGTATGTACAGTGTAAATTCTAACTACCGCGTAAACCTCACTTGTACATGGCCACGATTTAAAGCATAAGATCGTTGAAAGGTCTGACAAAATAGGGCACATGTCTTCAGCGGAAAGGACGTAGCCAATTGTACTACAACGTTGAGGAGATAGATGTGGAACAATATTCAGAAAACTTTGAAAGCTTGCTCTGTGAAGCGTTCAAGGCCGAAGGCTACTTAAATCAAAAACCTTTTGGATTACAGGAAGGCTCTCTGATTATGCTAATGAGAGGATCTGAAATCGTGGCTATTCATAAACGTTGAGTTAGCGTAATTCCGTGGAGCTGTGGTTGCAGCGCTAGGTCTAACTAAAGATCAAGAACGAGAATGAACGCTTTGCCACCTAACAGTATGTTATTTATTTTTAGATAGGATTGAAGGCGACGCAGATGTTTAATAAAGCATGTGGCATCTGAACATTTATCGAACGCGAAATTCAGAAGTGGTGCGCGTCCTTTAAGGACGAAAATTCCACGCTTTACAATATTAGAGGCCTAACGATTTTGTGTACGGTTTCAGGAAATTCGCATCTAACGTTAGAAACGGTCAAGAATATTGTTAGCGAGTCAACTAACATAAGGCATATATTGAAGAAATTTTATATTATAGTATGAACTGGTCCAATGTAGGTCTTACATAAAAGCGCAGAGAACTGATGAATAATGGATGGTACTCTTCGATTGGCGTAACCTTTCTTTTATACAACCTAAATCGGTTAGAACAATTACGAAATATTAGTAAAGATGCTATTCTCTATTCAATATAAAGACCCAACCTGGTTTCGATAGACCGGTTTGCTCCGCAAAATACCCGATCGATTCTTTAGGTGTATAGAGATTAATGTATTGCTTCGTATATATTAAGATATACGAAGAATAACGAGCTTCTTCGGTGTTGCCACCTGTGGCATTGTTGACTTAGTAGAATATTGGGCGAAGATCATCTAAAATAATGGCAAGCACATTATTAGAGAAATTCTTCCAGAGAACTCCTTCAAGAATAAGAAGTTCAATAAACAGTTTGCACAGTGTAAATGCTAATTAGATGCGGCTCATATACAATTCTGTTGAAACCCTTCCGCAGTGGAACGTGAATTTCAGTATGAACTTAAACTAAATCTAATGCTATATGACCATTTTCTATGCTTGTCTATTGACAATTCTTTGACAGGCGAGAAGAGTGCTCGCAGCCTTTGTCATGACTAATATAAGATATCCGATATTCCGTTAAGTCGAAACTGTTGTTTTCAGCTCAAAGGAGCCATCAGCAAAAAAGCCCTTTTTACTGGCAGCCTTTTACCGCCATGTGCTTTTTTATGGAACCTTTTCCTGCAGCTATGATGGAGCCATCAAAAAGGGCAAAGTTTCAAGGATTGGTCATTAACCTTCAGTAGAGGCGTGGGGGCTTCATCTTGGGTTTAACAGTCTTAATTAATCTACTGCTACTTCAGTCCCCTTACCTTTGTCCTGGCACTATCTCGTTCACCATCTTCAACAGAGTGGTCCCGCTTAAAGCAAACGCTTTAGAGACAGAAGTTTGATTCCTCTCGGTCACTGTAAAGCTGCGCAAGGCCAAATTTTCCACTTCGCAATCAAAACCAAATTACGTTAAAAAAGCTTCAAAAGAATCGGTCATTACTTTGGACTATCGTTACAGCCACACTTGGCGGGACATTTCCCCATTATTCTTAGCAAGTTTTGCTCTTGACAACCTTTGATGACCCAATGCGTTCATTCATACGAAGAAAAAAGACGCGTTGAATTTGTCGCGCAAATAGATGTTAAACAACAGTGGAATATGTACGTTTGGAACGGATTAGCTATGATGACAGTTAAACCGCCGAGGTTCTAGGCGATTAACGATGACCGGCAGAGATTTCTCCCCTCGGGAAGATGACGCACACGAGTTAGTGCATATGAAGGTCACCTAAAAGTTTAGAAATAGTTGAAGCCAAATTCTCAAAGCCGTCCAATAGAGCTGAAACAGCAGCTTTTAGCGGTTCTGAAAACGCATATTGGGCAGGCACTCTAAACAAGGAAAGCTTACCCTTACTTTTAAAGGTCGATCTATCTCCTAGAATCCGGTGCCACTGGAATTACTTAGATATATCTGAAATAGATCGAGTTAATAATGAGACACTTTCAAAAGCGTTTGAACGAGAATCTAAATTGATAAATCTAAATTTGAGCTAAACGTTGTAAAAAAATAGGCGGCAGCTTCTTGTTATTGACGCAGATAATTAAAAAAATCCTTTGTTGATTTTTCTCTGATGCTACTCGCGATCTTAAAAATCTTATAATTATAACAAATATAGACACCAAGGATTACTGCACAGATGTTTTATCCTATATTTAGCAAGGTGTGCATCGAGATTTTTGCTACTTTGAAAGATTTTGCTAAGTATGTGGAAAATATATCGTAAATTTTACACATATAACTTTTTTTTTTAATTTTTGAAGGAAATTTTGTTTTGAAAGAACTTGTTTACGTCGAAGAAATAAATAGTGATAAAGCCAAGGCATAGTGGCTAATTTATTTGACAAACATAAGAATAAATATACAGCAAGGAGAGGAAGGCTCCAGTAGAAATAACAGTGTTTTCCATTGAGTAACTGTATAGCGAAAATTAGCAAAATACCTGACGGACGTTAGTTTCATCGCGACTATAAGTTTCTCCTTTGAGTTCTTTAGGATCATATAAAAGGAAACTA